TTTTGAGAATAACTCGGACTTATCATGTTTCAGCTGTGAATGAGTTGTTGTAGAATTCACAGCGAAAATATAGAATTCTATAGAATTCTGTAGAATGTCTGAAATGTAGGAATTCTGCCACTGCTGCCTACTTCGCACTTTCTCAAATTAGAGCAATCACTGATGAAAAAAATCGAATTAACCCTTTCAGTCGGAGATTATTTTTCAAAATAAAGATAATAAAAATTCTCAAAACTCAACATCATTGTTTATCTTAAGATCTACGATGACATATATTGTTTAAACTGGTTGCAATGTACGTAGCCCTTGAAACGAGTTATAGCGCACAACACGTCTTATAATATAATATCCATTCATAAGTGGTATCTCTTCATTACTAAAATGTCTCTATACTTTCAAATTGTAGGACGCAAATTTGCGACTTTTGGACCCAAAGAGTTAAATAGAAACATTTTATGTTGTTCATTTTATTTTAATAATAGAGTCAAATATAATGTCAGATAGTGGCAAAGTTTCATTGTGTTATTTCAGGAAGTATAGTCTACACTTAGTCTAATCCTTCATAAACGTTCTGTTAATTCAAATATAAGAGGTTGAACTAATAAAATATTTTGAAACTTTTGTTTAAGATAATTAAAGAATGTTTTGGTTTATAATTATTTCAATAACAGATGTGAATACATTAACTGCTGTTGGTGCTAACATGCCTGGTGTAGGTCACAGTCAACAATATGTTAATTTAATTAGACAAACACCTCCATGCGGTACTCCACATAAACCTTGGGATAGTTATGCAACACTTGATCCTGTCACTGGATGTCCAATCGGTAATTTTGGAACATTAGTGGCTGGAGAAAGTGTTGATTTTATATACAAAAGGTAACGCACAGATTTCAACAGACCTTGGTCAACATTCATATATTACTAATCAATCATATAATACTTTAACAAATACGCTAAAAGCTATTATCAGTTTTGTACAAGATACAACTGGCCTGATGCTTAGTTTTCGTAATACAAGTGGTTTTGGTTTACAAGATATAGTTTTATTACAATCGGGTCATAATTTAACCTCAAAATCAAACATAACTAATTTGTTCTTAGCACATTTATCACGTTTTAGTTTAATACGTTTTATGTATTCCACAAGCACAAATGGAAATTCTGAGAGAATTTCGTTTCTCCCGACAAACTCGATGTTTCTGCTGAAGAACATCATCGTTTCCCCTGAGAAATTCGATGTTTCTCAAGAAGAACTGCATTGTTTGCCGTGAGAAAAGCGATGTTTCTCCAGAAAAACTCGATGTTTTTGGGCGACAACTTGGTCGTTTCCCTTGCGAAAATCGATGTTTCTGCAGAAGAACTTCGTCGTTTCTACGAAAGAACTCCACGTTTCTACTCAAGAATTCCATCGTCTGTCCCGAAAAACTGAATGTTTCCGGACAAGAACGTCGTCGTTTCTGCAGAAGAACTTGATCGTTTCTACGGAAAAACTCCATCTTTCTATTGAAGAATGTATTCCTTTCTGGTGAAAAACTCGAAGTTTCTCCAAAAGATCTTCGTCGTCTCACCTGAGGAACTCGAAGTTTCTCGAGAAGAACTGCATTGTTTCCCGTGCGAAAATCGATGTTCCTCCGGAAGAACCCTAGCGTTTCTCCCGATAAACTCGATGATTCTGCACAAGAACTCCATCTTTCTACTCAAGAATCTCATCGTTGCTCGCGAAAAACTCGCTGTTTCTCCACGAAAACTTCATCGTGTCTCCCGAAAAAGTCGATGTGTTTGGAGGACAACTTCGTCGTTTCTCCTGAGAATCTCTATGTTTCTCAAGAAGAACTTGATCGGTTCTCATGTAAAACTCGATGTTTTTGGACGGCAACGTCGTCGTTTCTGCAGAAGAACTTCATCGATTCTATGGAAAAACACCATCTTTCTACCCAGAATTTCATCGTTTCTCCCTCAAAACTCGATGTTTTTCGCGAGCAACGTTTCTTAAAAACTCGATGTTTTTGGACGACAACTTGGTTGTTTCCCCTGCGAAAATCGATGTTTCTGTAGAAGAACTTTAGCGTTTCTACGGAAGAACCCCACCTTTCCTCCCAAGAATTTCATCGTTTCCGCTGAGAAACTCGAAGTGTCTCAAGAAGAACTGCATTGTTTCTCGTGCGAAAATCGATGTTCCTCTGGAAGAACTTCATCGTTTCTCCCGGAAAACTCGTTGATTCCGCACAAGAATTTCGTCAGTTCTCCTGAAAAGGTCGATGTTATTTTAGTGAAAACTCGATGTTTTTGGACAAGAACGTCGTCGTTTCCCGTGAGAAACTCGATATTTCTCCACAAAAACGTCATTGTTTTTCCTCGAAAAACTGGATGCTTTTGGACGGCAATTTCGTCGTTTCCCATGCGAAAATCGATGTTTCTGCCCAAGAACTTCATCCTTTCTCCGGAGAAACTCGATGTTTCTCAAGAAGAACTTCATCGTTTCTCCTGAAAAACTCGACGCTTTTGGACAAGAACGTCGTCGTTTCCCATGCGAAAATCGATGTTTCCGCAGAAGAATTTCAGCGTTTCTACGGAAAAACTCACTCTTTCTGCTCAAGAACTTCGTCGTTTCTTCCGAAAAACTCGATACTTTTGGACGACAACTTCGTCGTTTTCTTTGAGAAACGCGATGTTTCTCAAGGAGAACTTCATCATTTCTCCTGAAAAGCGCGATGTTTCTACTCAAGAACTTCATCGTTTGTCCCTAAAAACTCGATGTTTCCGGTCAAGAACGTCGTCTTTTCCAGTGCGAAAATCGAAGTTTCTGCTGAAGAACTTCGTCGGTTCCCCTGAGAAAGTTGATGTTATTTTAGTGACTTAAATTAAAAGAAGAAAAACTTAAATACGATGTATAACTTAAATCAGCGGATTGACGAAGAATATATTAATAGACTAAGCATATACATTGAAGATCTCTCAAGATTCAACGATAGAAAGAAGGTCATCTTCGACGTTATGTATTTAGCGAAGTTTACCGCGGTAAAATTTCGAGATGTCTTACGGGTTTGAAACTAGCGCGGTGAAAATCTGATATTGCTGCCAAAGCGTCGGTAGCGGTAACACGTTATTACCGCTTCCGCTCACCTCTAGTCTCTACTAGCTACGAGTAAGTCATCAAAACTTCCTAAACAATTAACAATCTGGCAAAAAGCTGAAAATAATTTGAAACGTTTTTCCTGCACTTTACAGCGAAAACTTTTATATAGGTTTGGCGAGATCGATCTAGCTCAAATCTGAATTTATTGGATTTCACGATCCTATTTACAGTCAAGAATGTTCAGGATGAATTCTGTAGTTATATGACTGGCATAGCAATAACCGAAAATGATAATCTGATTCATTCATTTCGACAAACACAAATATTAGATTCTTTGCTATTGTCTTCAAAAACTAAACATTATGGACTATCAGAAACGCTTTTTAAAACTGAACTGTAGCAGATAGTTCAGTTGAATAATAAGTTTAGAAGGACGACTGATAATATTTCATTTATTACGGATTATGTAAAATCTAACCGAAAGTTTATTCAACTTTATTTCAAATGGATCCCAGTATACAAAGAAAATGATAAAATAAAAAGTTCATCTTTCTTCTGAGTAACAAAAAGTACAAGGTTTTAAACTGAATCACTTGATTGCACGTTTGAATATTTTTTTTTGCCATTTGCATATAAACCATGAGATACGAGTAGGACAAATTCATCGATTATTATCAATATGGTAACTTTGGTAACTACTGTAAAATGAGATTTGTAGGATGTGATTAAATCAGCAGGAATAGTAATGGGAACAAGAAATATTACTTTTGCGATGTATTTAATAATAAGTGTCACAACTGATGTTGCTGACAGACACCGATTATTATTCCAAACGGCAGATATTATACAGGAATTGAGTATAAACATTAGTATACCAAATATAATTTTTACCTCGAAATATGAATCCGATGATTTATTTCTAGTCATCCCGTACGCATCCGATTCAAACGAGGCTATTGCCCTTAAACCTCTTGGTAAAATATACCCAATATCGCTGAACGGTGACAAAATATAATAAATTGTTAAGGATACACACGTATATCAATCATTAATTTTGTTATTTTTTCTGTGTTATCGATTTGCGTTCCATTCTGCCGTATGTCTTCAGCAGCTAATTTCCCTGTACTAATGCAGCAAGAAGTCTTATGATGGTGAGTAGCCATTTGAGAATTTAATTTGCAAAAAATGCTTGTATAGGAATTCTAAAAACGAAGAATATTACTTAAAGAGATACAAATGCATGTGCATATCAAAATATGATGGTTTTTTTCTAGAGAAGCGATCCTCGAGATTTTTACATATTCGGAATCAGCGCGACTAGTTACGTTGTACGGCGCAAAGATTTCGTCGGGGTCTCGAGACTTTTTGGACTCGGATTCTCTACTATGGATTTTCACGGTATATTACACTACATTCAACAGTAGACATCAACAATGCCGCTTTTCTCCCGTTCTCTTTTATGTTTCATTTTTCTTTCCTTTGATATTTTTTCTTTCTATGCCCACTATAGAGACAGATATGACGCAAGAAATGGAGAAAAGAACAAATTTTATCGTTTTATCGAAAAGAAGGATTCTACTCAGTATGAAAGTGTTTATTCTGGGAACTTCCCAGATTAAAGAGTTAACAAATTTGAAAGTACCCCCGCTCCAGTTTTGCTGGCAGTGTGAAGTACACAAGTGGTATTCTATGCCAAGCTATTTTTTGGAAAAAGGTCTATTTTAGTTTTTAAGATGTAGAGATTTCAATATCACAGCTAAACGCATGAAAAAGTAGGTATCTACGTCAATATAAATGCCAAATGAGTTTTCAGAGAACTTTCTGAACTACCATGACTTTCCGGCTTTCTCTTCGGGTCATGATAGTGCGAGATAATGTATGTAAAATAGAAATAAAAATAGTTAAAAGGTTGCTACTATCCATAGTCAGTATCTTCTTGAAACAGCTATTAATAATCAATGAATAAGAGTGTTAAATGATGAATAATAACTACTCATCCATTACCGTTATATTCATCATTGTATAACGAAACATTCATGTCTATATAATCAACGTTCAGTCAGATAAAACTTTAATAATTTTTTCTTTCTGTACACAGGTATAAAGCCAGAATTGGAGAAAAGAACGAATTTTATCATTTTATCGAAAAGAAGGCTTGCACTCTCTATGAAATTAGTGTTTATTCTGGCAACTTCTCAGATTAAAGAGTTAACAAATTTGAAAGTACCTCCTCCCGGTTTTGCTGGTAGTTTGAAGTATACAAGTGGTACTCTATGCCAAGCTATTTTTTGGAAAAAGGTCTATTTTAGTTTTTAAGATATAGAGATTTCAATATCGCAGACTAAAGTTAGTAAAATGTATGGATTTCACTTTAATTCTCGAAATTGCACGAATTTAGAACGACCAACATAACTTTCTTGATCACTTTTCGGAACATGATAGTCAGAGAAGCCAGTGTTTTTCATTAGATGCTGATAATACAGAATTGTTGACTAAACTGATATTTGCGGAACAAAAAATATCATTTCATTAAGCAGATATTAATAAAAAAGTATTAATAAATGTCATCAGAACTTTATTATCACTTTTTCGTTAAATAATAAATCAATGATAATATTTTTCCTTGTTCACATGACATATTTACGGAAAAATGCCGTTTGATGTGAACAACAACGCTTTCATGCATTCGTGAAAGAATGGAGACATAATAAGATAAACAGAGAACAACTCATATAGACAGCATTGTTGTGTTCGATAATAAATAACTGTTAAGACAGCTCTCGTTTCTTCGATCTCTAGTCTTACACAAGCTTTTATGGCCCTTTCGAGATAATCAGCCATTTTTTTTTCCATTTTGTCCGTTTTCGTTAATCTCATTTTTCAATGATCATATTTAGTACGCAGTTCTTTTTTTTGTCTTTTTCTGTTGCCACGTGTACAGTTTTAGTCATTGAACCTCGACATTTTTGTATAGTGGTATATACGGTCATACTTTATTCTTATAGTATAAGAATAAAGTATACATTATCAACAATTAATCACGCGTCGTGGTGGCTGTTCTTCTTTATAATAAATAAACGGTTGAGGTTTAGTTTTCTCCATTTTTCAACTTATGTCGTTGAGTTTGAAGAGATAATCCTTAGCACACGGTCACTCCTCTTCTATTCTCTCGTAACACACCAGATGATCCGTACT